AGCTAAATCGCTGTCCATAAACATCCTCCTAACTAGGCCATGTATGCTCAGTGAGATAGTTTTGATGTTAAACAGGACAATGTATTTTTTTCCCTTAAAGTATTGACATTGCTTTTAATTTGAACTGGTTTCTTCTCTTTATTCATTGTTCATAATGTAGCTTTGAGCAGGGTCTATTTCACTGAGTGCTATTATTCCTGGTTCTGAGTAAAACATCTCTGTTAAAAACAACAAAAGCCTAAGTAGAGCTCTTTTCTCTGGAAAAAGATAATGCAATTTTGCTGGAAAACATTGTGAAATAGCTTTCATGGTGCATTCCATGAATACCATACACTTTGTGAGACTTAGATTTGTTTGTTAACAATTTCATACCATGGGGATTTTGCCCTGATTTTGCAAAATCTTGTGAATTTTGTCCTGATTTTGACCCGGTCTTGACGTTCTTGAAAGTACATAGCATTTATATATACTGTACCATAAATTTGTCCTATGGTGTGACATAGCAAAAATTAAGAAAAAAACCCTCTAAATAATACATAAATAGCACAAGAGAGATTTATCTTCATTGTTAGACACTTATTTTCATATAGTGTTATTATTTAATATGAAATTATTATTAACATAATTTTTTCCCCATGACTTGTTGGACAATTTCAAGACAAACTTTGACAATAAGACAAGCTTCGCTGTCAACCGTTCAAAACTGCTGAAAATTACACCATTTTAAGTTGAGTGATTTGTATCTCCCCTATTGCAATACTCAACTGTTTTTTTTTTTAGATATTTTGAGATAAATACAAATCTGTGTTTCTTTAATGTGTGCCACACCATAGGACATCACGTCACACTAAAGGACAGAATTGGTAGTTATTAAATTATTTCTATTTCATTTTGAACATGTCAAAGGAGAAAGAAAGTTTAATATTGATACAAACAATATCAACATGTTTTTTTAAACAAAAAATAATTTTCATCAACAAAATTCAGTCTCTTAGTCAATCAGTATGTTACTGAAACTTTTCTATCCCCCCTGCTACATGTGTAGCACAGATAAATATGATTGATATTCAAACTATAATCATTAACATGTGAATGAATTTAAAACTATATGGCTACTCTTTTTAAGGCATCATTTTGATTCAATTTTCTTTCTGCATCGCTCTCTTAAGATCTCCTCCCTTCTGCGTGGATCCCTGTTAATTTTCTGTCTATATCTCCATGTCCTCTCTCTTCCAGTAATTTCTCTCCCTCAGTTCTTTCTGTCTCAAAAACAAAGTATCACATTTTATACTTATTTTCATTACACTTTATAACAGTACAAGTTTACTGTAAAAACATCAGAAAATAGTTTAATTAATGTAATTATTGCATTTAAAGGGTTAGTTCACCCAAAAATTAAAATTAGGCTGCATTTTACTCACCCCCGAGGCATCCTAGGTGTATATGACTTGGCACAGATAAATATGATTGATATTCAAACTATAATCATTAACATGTGAATGAATTTAAAACTATATGGCTACTCTTTTTAAGGCATCATTTTGATTCAATTTTCTTTCTGCATCGCTCTCTTAAGATCTCCTCCCTTCTGCGTGGATCCCTGTTAATTTTCTGTCTATATCTCCATGTCCTCTCTCTTCCAGTAATTTATCTCCCTCAATTCTTTCGGTTTTTGTAAGAAAAATATCCATATTCAAAATGTAATAATCACAGTTGTACATCGAAGCAGTTCTGGGAGCATGACATATGAGGACAATTTTTAATATAACTCCGACTGGATTCGTCTGAAAGAAGAAAGTCATACACCTAGGATGCCTCGGGGGTGAGTAAAACGCAGCCTAATTTTCATTTTTGGGTGAACTAACCCTTTAAGAACACTGAAAATGATCAAAAAATAAATAAAAAGGAGTTAAACAAATCTTATTTAATTATTTAAAATGCTTTTTAAAGAGACCTTGTCCTCTGGTGTGACATCTTTGTCCTGTGGTGTGACAGTACAGCCGGAGGACATTTTCTGTCACACCATAGGACGTTTCAGCCTTTTGTGTCAATTAATGACCTTGCTATTCTGAGCTAACCTGTCATTAGCAGTAAGCAAGACACATTTGCATAATTTTCCATCATTATGTAGTTTAATGTAGTTTTTAATTTAAAATATATAATTTAGGGGTGTCACACCAAAGGACAACAAAACGTAACACTTTTGTAGTGTTTCCGAAAAAGTTAAATATTTGAACTATTTGGAATTGGCCGATTTAAAATCAGGATATGGTGTCACACCACCAGTTTTATATGTTATAAAACTTTATATCTTTTGAGGTCGACAGTCATTATTTTCTGACGGACCTTTCCCTGACCACTTTTCACTGACATGCCTTATTTTATACCCTGTTTGTTGAAAGTGCTTCATAATGTTTATTTAGAAAATTATATCTACTTTTTTATTTATAATAAAGCAAGGTCAAGATTGTTTTTCTCAACCGAACTTAGGTAGCTGATACGTATGTGTAACTTGTATTTAAAGGGGTCATATGATGCGATTTCAATTTTTCCTTTCTCTTTGGAGTGTTACAAGCTCTTGGTGCATAAAGAAGATCTGTAAAGTTGCAAAGACTAAAGTCTCAAATGTTATTTTTAGCAGCATCATATGACCCCTTTAAATTTTTTGTTTGCTCATATTAAAATACATTAGATTATAGTGTTGTTAATGGAATATTTGTGTAATTCAATAACATGCTGATATTACAATGTTTGAATCTTAATCCAGTCATATAAATTAGCGCATTACCACTAGCTTATACTTCAACAGACCCCTTGCCAATTAGCACAATAAACACTGACAGTAAATTAAACTTAAATTAAGGTGTCAAACCTTAACCTGTACAAAATTTACAAAGCAATTACCTCATAATTATAGGCATTGTGCTTCACCAGGATATCTCGGGCTACCTTGCAACCTTGTGAGACATACAGTACTTTATGAGTTCACTGAGCAGTGTTATACATGGATAGCCTATACATAAGGCACATGCAAATATATGGACATTTCTCTTAGTTATGATTCAAGAGCACTTGGAAGCGCACATATTTAAAAGGATTATAACCACCGGAGGGAAACCACATCACTGGGGATGTACTCTGTCATACGTCCAAATAGTTTTTTGAAACTTTGTCCATGCTTAGCCTGAGAATCCAACTCTTTAACAGTGTAAACAACTCTTAATGCATGAAACAGCATTGTACCCCCCCTTTAAAGTAATTAATTTCCATAAACAATTAAACTTTATTTGAAATTCATTTAATATATTTAGTAAGTAGTGTTCAGACTAAAACTGCCATTTATAACTAAGAATATTATTAAACTTACAATCCATAATAACTTCTATTTTGTAAAATTATGATGTGTATTTTATGGTGTCTGAGTACAAAAGGTGGAGACGCCAAATGTTTCCTAATACACACTTCATATCACTGGGGTTTGTTCTGTTTGCTCTGGGTCCATAACATCACCGCTCGTGATGCAGGTGTTGACCTCAGCAAGCGTGGACTCAAATGCTTTAAAAGAGGGGACACCACAAGACTGCCAAATGACCATTCATTGCTCAGTGACCTTCCGAGTGACGATAATGAACACACTGTTGAATTGGATTTGTGAGTGGCTCTCTGTATGGAGTGATAAGGGAGATTGGGAAGCTTAGCCACCATCCCCAGTGATGTGGTTTCCCTCCGGTGGTTATAATCCTTTTAAATATGTGCGCTTCCAAGTGCTCTTGAATCATAACTAAGAGAAATGTCCATATATTCGCATGTGCCTTATGTATAGGCTATCTATGTATAACACTGGTTAGTGAACTCATTAAGTACTGTATGTCTCACAAGGTTGCAACAGTTTGTTTGGACTTGAAAAGTGAGAGATCCCATCACAGCAATGGGGAAGATTAAACATGTTTGTCAAGTTTTGTAAGTCCTTTAAGAATAATGTTTACATTTTTTTACTTATGCCATCAAATGTTATTGGCTATGAATTTTATTTAGTTTGCTTCACTGATTTGCATTTTATCAGCTATTTTATGTATCTCATGCCATCTAAAGACATGTAATTAATCTTCCTCCATTTATTTGATAGAGTAGGCCTACTGTTTCGATAACAGAAATATTGTGAAATATTATTTTAAAAAACAGTTTTCCATTTGATTATTTTTAATTTTCAGCAACCATTACTCCAGTCTTCAGTGTCACATGATCTTTCAGTAATCGTTCTAATATGTTGATTTGATGCTCAAGAAACATTTCTTATTAACATCAATGTTGAAAACAGTTGTGCTGCTTCATATTTTTGTGGAAACATACATTCTTTTCAGGACTCTTACTTTTGTTCAATTTATTGCATCCTTGCAGAATAAAAGTGTTAATTTCTTAAATATATAAAACATTATTGATCTTTAAAAGGTTGTTAAAATACGAATAACAAATGTATTAATGGGCACTTGTTTATTTATGTATTTTTTATTATCTCAATAACAATGTCTGACATTATAGATTAAGTTTCTGGACTTCAGATAAATAAGCTACATTACCATCAAGGATTGAGTGCTAGATATTAACTCATGCTAGGCTAGATTATTATACCTCATTAGAATAATTATTATCATAATGACTTTGGCACCCTTGATTATTTCATACAAATGATACAGCACTTCTAACTCACCTCACATAGGGTGTCTACATTTATACCAACTGAATACTATTCATTATGATTGTTATTTGTGCATCCGTTTAATTATATCAATAATTTTCAGTTAATTAACTGATTCATTTTGCCTGGTTTAGTTGTCCATACTGCTAAATTAAACACATTGCCAAATACCGGTCCTCCAACCAGTAAAACGGCATAAAGAATCAGCTGGGCTCATTTTAACAAGCAGATGGCAGTATGACGTTGAGCTGGTGAGTGGTTGTCAAGCCAGTGTGCTCTTCACTCTAGAGACAGGCTTACAGCCTAGAAAAGTAAACTCTAACAGTACAGTAAAATCTCCAGTGGAACCCAGTTTTTTATGTTATATTTTCGCTAAGATAATTGAATGCTGTATGTACGTTCATGTGATTAACACTTGTTTGCTACAGCTAAGAAATGTGTGCAATGCAATAACAATAATGACAAATAGTGTTTCCTAGTATTGCACATGATAGGTATTAGAGCTTCCTTTTAAAAACAATTCATACTTGCACATTAATGTACTTCCACATCTACGCATCATTTCCTTACCTACTTAACATAACTAAGATTCTTTGGTCCCTGTGATTGGTGGCAAGTTTCTTGGACACGCAGATTAATTGTGCAGATTAATGTAATGCACTTTGGTTTTGTCAGAGGTGAACAATTGACTTAGTTGTTATTTTTCAGGCTCGGTTAAGTGTTGAGAGAAAAGGGCGTAAGGCACAGTTTAGGGTTCCCTTCATTTGCACTTGGATGTTGAGGCACTTAAGAAACAAATGGTATTACGTCTATCTCACTAGAATAAAATACCCAGCCACCCTCCTACCCCTCACTGGTTCCATTCAGGTCTTGTGGCCTTTAGGGATTTGATCATGATTCATAAAAACCCACACTCCCACATTCACACAGATGCAAACACACGTAAACACACACACTGGTAATTGCACTTTGGTGGTCAGTATTCTTCTCTTCTACTTCGATTAGTTCACATTTCCTGGGAGGAGTTACTCCACAGTCACAGATTTGGCCAGGTTTCTTGGGAAGTCCACCTGATGGGAATCAAATGACGATATGTAATGAAAATACAAGAAAATGAACATTAAAGATTCTGAAAAAAGCACTGCAGTTATGTATTGATCATTTTGCATACAGTAGTTTATTTTAAATGGTAATGCAAAGTGCCAAATGAATAAAAAAAAAATAGTATTATAATATTACAATAAAATACATTATAATAAAAATATAATTATAAAAATACAATATTCTATTTCAAAATTATGATTCTATAGATTATAGTTCAAGGATTAGTTATTGTAATTTTTTTTATTAGCTGTTTGAACTCTTTTTCTGACAGCACCCATTCACTGCAGAGGATCCATATGAGAGTCATGTAATACAAAATTTTTCCAAATCTGTTCTGCTGAAGAAACAAACTTATCTATATTTTGGATGGCCTGAGGGTGAGCCAATTTTCAGCATATTTTCATTTTTGGGTGAACTACTATATATAGTTCTATAACTATACAGTATACAACTGTTCTATAACTATTTTATATATAGTTATATGCAGTATACAAGGGTAGGTTTGCCATTTTCAACCAGCTTTGTATTGTTACAATGTCGGTAGTACCGTGAAAAGGTTTTTGCCCCCTTCCTATTTTGATTTTTTGCATATTTGTCGCACTTAAAAGATTCAGATCAAACACATTTTTATATTAAACAAAGATAATGCAAGTAAATACAAAATGCAGTTTTTAAAT